TTTTATTTTTGTAATATATTATTTTGATATACTTTATAGATCTTGGATTTTTGAACATATTTTTATATTATATTTTTTTGGTAACTAAATAATGTACTTTAATTTAAAGATAATATATGTTAAAATATATTATCTTTAAATTAAAATATTAAAATATTTCTAAGGCTGATCTAATTTAAACTTAATTTAATAGGTATGCACTGTTAATTTCTCCATCAAAGCAAATATCCCAGAAGTGAAAGAAGAAGATGAGAAGTTAAAAACTCCAATAGGAGATGGTAAAGTATTCAAAAGCATAGAGGAAGCTGTATCTGATGTACACAATGGTGCCAAACTTTTGGTCGGTGGATTCGGTCTCTGTGGTATCCCGGAGAATTTAATAGCAGCTGTATTAAAAAAGGGTTCTAAAGATTTGATAGTAGTTTCTAATAATGCTGGAGTGGAGGACTTTGGACTGGGTATATTGTTGAAGGAGCATAGAATTAAAAGAATGATCGCATCATATGTAGGTGAAAATCCTGAGTTCGAGAGGCAGTATCTCAGTGGCCAATTAGAGGTCGAGCTAACACCACAGGTAACAATTTAATAATGAAAATAATGCGCAAATAGATAAATCTCATAAATTTTCGCAAGTTAATCGATGGCTCATTTAGGGTACTTTAGCAGAACGTGTGAGAGCAGGTGGTGCCGGTATTCCAGCTTTCTACACCCCCACGGCTTTCGGCACCATTGTGCAAGAGGGCAATGTCATTGTGAAATACGACAAGAATGGCAACGCCGAGATATCGGGTGAGCCGAGAGATGTGAATCAATTTGATGGGCGAAACTACGTTCTGGAGACAGCCATCACTGGTGACTTTGCACTCGTGAAGGCGTGGAAGGCCGATACCGCCGGCAATCTGATCTTCCGAAAGTCAGCGAGGAACTTCAATCCTGTGATGTGCAAAGCGGCCAAGGTGGCAATCGTCGAAGTGGAGGAAATTGTAGAACTCGGCGAGTTGAATCCCGATCACATTCATTTGCCTGGCATTTTCGTGGACAGGATTGTGAAGGGTCCATCTTACGAAAAACGAATCGAGGTTGGTTGTCTTTGCTTTCAATATTTATCACATCAATATTCATAGCATCAATATTCATTGCATTCGTCGTTGCATATTCAATTATGCAAATGCCTCATGAGTATTATTTCTTTTTCATTTTGTAGAAACGTTCGACGAAGCAAACTATGAAGCCTAAAAAAGTGACACCGGCTACGAAAGCGAGGGAAATGATTATCAGGCGTGCCGCTCTCGAATTTAAGGATGGAATGTATGGTAGGTAAAAAAAGGACAAGGAATGAATCTAGATTAGAAATAGATTAGATATAGCAATTTAAAAAAAATAAGTGCTTTTATCAGTACTTAATAAATAATCAAAACTTTTGCAGCGAACTTGGGAATTGGTATGCCCATGTTAGCTAGTAATTATATTCCGAAAGGTGTGAAAGTGACGTTGCAATCAGAGAACGGTATCCTTGGACTGGGTCCTGTTCCAGATGAAGCTGATGTCGATGCCGATCTTATTAACGCTGGAAAAGAAACCGTAACAGTTTTGCCCGGCGCTGCTTTCTTTAGTAGTGATGAGAGTTTCGGCATGATTAGAGGGTATGATTATTGACAAATTATCTTAAAGTCAATACTTTTTCGTCTATCATAAATATTAGAACACATTGTCAAATATTTTAAAATTGATACATTAATTTTTATTTTCTTACATGGATGATTATTGATTATGATTGATTGTATTTGATAATACAAATAATATCTTTGAATGTCCAAGAGAAAATGGATTTAATAATTATATATTTATCACAGAGGTCATATTGATCTGACTATTCTTGGAGGTATGCAAGTGTCAGAAAATGGTGATTTGGCTAACTGGATGATACCCGGTACGATGGTAAAAGGTATGGGAGGTGCCATGGATCTTGTTTCTGCAGCGACCACAAAAGTAGTAGTGACCATGGAACATACAGCCCGAGATGGAAGCCCAAAAATTGTAAAGAATTGTACTTTGCCTGTTACAGGTAAAGATTCACAAAACTTTAATTACAATATTTTTCTTGATTTTGCTTATTGTATTTTGATATTTCGTTATTTAATACTGGTTGAAGACATGATTTAATAATTTTGTAATATTTCTAGATATTATTTCTAATTACTGTATGTAATAATTTCTTTTTCATAACGCTTTTTTATAGGACAACAATGTGTAGATTTAATTATCACAGATCTCGGAGTATTTGAAGTGATGAAAGGAGAAGGACTGAAGCTTATTGAGATTGCACATAATGTCGATATTAGCGACATCATCAGTTCGACAGGTTGTGAATTTAGTGTGGCTGATGATCTTAAGGAGATGGGTCAAGTCGAAGTCGATTGAATTGTAAATTGTAATGTATTTTACAAATTTTAAACGCGTGATAATTCAATATCATGCCTGAAAGTAAGTTTTTAATATCTTTTACAAACTATATATACATAATTCCTAATACAGAAAATTCTGTGCAATTTAATTTAAAACGAAAAACTAGGGTCGCTTGTTAAGTCTCTGTTGATGTGTCTGTTTTCTATAGATTTATCTATACTTCTCGTGTAATATATTGTAACATTTAAATGATTAGATAAATGAATTTGATGAAGCATCTATGTTAATTGCATAATATACACAACAGTTAATACATTTTTTAATGTATATAGATTTCTATTTTTTGTAAAATATCAAAACGATTTATGTATTGCGTTTACGGCCAAGTAAAATTATGTTACATACACTGATTAGCATCATATAAATAAGATAATTTTGTAACATAACATCTTATAAAATACAAATTTTTAATATTTTTGATATGTGTTTTTTTTCTTTGATCATTATTCTAATTCTATGTTATTTACAATTTTATATACATTTAGAATTTAAATCAAGTGATAAGTATAGTGCGATACGTATACTATTTAACGCTAAATTCGAGTATCCGAATTTTAGTGCGATGTGAGACATTAAATAAGACGATCACATCAAATGCAAACAAGCATTCACAATCCATTATTCTCTGAATTTTGCCTTTACTTTGGCGGGTAATGGTAATAGATATAAGACACTGTTTAATATGATGAGACCGACGGCAAATGCTAGAGAGATCAGCAGATTCAAGTCTACATTCAACACTTCAGAGATATTCTCGCCTTCTCTAGTGAAGCGTTCTATCAGATACGTCTTGCCATCGGGATACCTGCAAAGCTCAGGTATGCCTGGACAAGTGAAACTCTCATTGTAGGGCAGATTAGATAGCAAAGGAGTATCGATGACCAGTTGATTTAGCGCTAGAGATGCGTATCTGGTCGGCAGCGCGGTCGACACCATTGCCAGCCAATAAGGTAGATTCTTCAGGCTACGAATCGCTCCCGAAGCGATCACCAGGGACAACAGAGTCATGTACAGTACTGTGATGGCACCGGTTATAGGTTTACCAACCACCATCAGCACAGCTACTGTTACTTGCTCAGCCGCAACATAACTGGACCACAGGATACCGGAAGCGTACGCCCATGAGGTGAGATCCAGCTCCAAAATGGGAATCAGGATTCCGATTGTTATCAGTGTCGACATGAAACTCAGCGGAAGACTCAGCATGGTATACGCAGTTAGAAACATTGCGCCACCATAGAGACCCTCTCGCTTCTCTTGATAATACCTTGCGCGGAAGCCTGGAACTATATACAAGGTCTTATATAATAAAATGCTGGACATAAATCGGAAAGAAATGTACTTTAATATATTTTGAATAGCGATACAAATAAGGCAGAATTTAGAAAGTTTTAAATATTTTTTGAATATCCTTGGATGGATTAGAAATTCATGATACCAGAAAAGGATCTTTTGTTTATTCTTAATTTTAGGCTTACACAAGAGTGATGTTGCAGCTATTCCAGCTACGTAAAACAAAGTTAAGACGTTGAAAATCAGGCCACCGGTTTGTAAAAAAATTCTCGATTGTACGGGACTTGAGTGTGAGTATAGTATGCTCATTAAAGCAACCACGAATGGCAGTAACAGCAGGCGAGCGGCAAAATGTCCTAGGCCAATCTTGTTAAACGAGAACGTAGCCGCCATACTTCGTCTAAGTACAACAACACAATTGCAATTTGATTAATAAAATATTCTAAATCTGCCGATCTTAATTTCATTGTAAATTCTACAAAAGTAGCTTTATTTTAAGAGATATATGTAATGCAAAAGAATGTTAAAAAGTTTACAACGATTACAATAATTAAGTCAGCAAAATTTTTTCTAAGAAAAAATTAACTTTGCATTTGTTACTTTATTTCATTCAACTAACGTAAAACTGCAATCGTGATTCGAAAGACTCACAAATACAGTGCCAAAAGAGTCGAGAAACATCCAGGCTTGATTCCGCGTCCTAGACCTTTGTGCATAATGCCGAGAGCAGTATCTTTCATATTATGCGGCACTTGCGGTCCTTCCTTCATATAAAGCACTCCGTCCACCTTAAATTTCTCGACCAAGACCGATATCTGTTGATTGGACTCCAAGAAGCGATCTCTGGATCGACGATCAACGGTCGACAAGCACACTGAAAAAAACAGCGAACTCTAATATACTGATTCGCTAATCACATCTTTTTTGTATTTAAAAATGTCTTTGTCTTCATTTAAGCGAGTTAATTTTTTTTAAAGTGATTTTAAGGTCTTGCGCGGAAGATAGCAAAGGCTGCTAAAGTAATAATAATTTTTTTAAACGGGTAGACGTCCATGTGATAATATTTATTCTATGCAATACTTACGGTAATACATTAAAGGGTTCTCCAGTTCCGGACAGGGAAAGCCGATGTAGGTGAAGTAATCCAGCATGCTTCTGGTTGGTCCCGAATAAACCACCGCGCCCAAACACAGCAACGTCACACGACTGACGAAGGGCAGAACGTCGGATCTAGGTGTTTCCATGGTGAGGACGACGATGGAGCCACGTCTGGTGGCGTAGGACCACAGCATCGAGACGATGAGATACGTGTTGAGGGGGTCGGTGTCCCAGGTCGGCTCGTCCAGCAGCAGCAGAGTTGGATCCTTGGCGAGCTGCACCCCAAGCATCAGTCGCCGATATTCCGGCCTGGTGAGATCGTTCACCGATCGATTGGCGACTTGCGAGAGCGCCAGATCGGCGAGGGTCTGTCGCACTCGGGCCTCGCGATTGTTCAGATTGGCGAGCCATGTAGCGTACACCAGAGTCTGGCGGACCGTCAGACTCGGGAGCAGGTGACACCTGTGAGCCACGTAGCCGCCGTGACGACGGAACAGTTCCGGTGTTAAGAGGTTACCATTCAGGGTGACTCGCCCCCTCGTCTCGCCCTCCGCTCTACCGGCTGAAAGAAAATTCAAGCTGAAGTTACTTTAATTAAAATGCTGTTTCTGAAATATTATTATTGTCCATTCTCCCTGTATTTTTTATCCTTCTTTGATAAGATTTAATTTTTTGTCGTTATAAAAAATATAATAAGGGGATATTTTTATAAAATATTTAAATAAAAAAGTTTTATAAAAATGTGTGCAGAAATATGTTTAATTAAATTCTAAAAGATTGATTACGATTTGTGCTCCCTACAATTTTTCTGCAATTCTGCGAAACGCTACAATGCAACGATAAGAAAAACGGCTGGAATTATTCACCGATAACATCGAGGAGCGCTCGTTTGCCGGAGCCCTTTGATCCTAGAATAGCCAAGACCTCTCCACCGTGAACGCGGGCTGATACATCTCTTAGCACTGCGGTAGGCTCGGATTTGTTGAGGCAGGTCCCTTCAATCACCACGGAGGTGGAGTGAAACACGTTGGATATGTCGAGAACGCAATCGGACGGAATCATCTTGAGGCTCGGTATTTCGTTTCGATACCCACAATTACATTCCCCAATTAAGCCTTTGAGAAACTCTATAGAGATGAAGATTCTAAAGTTACTTCTTTTAAAATACACTACGTATTATTTATTACAGTTTATTTTGCATTTTACATAACTTTGTGTATTATTTAATGTCAAAAGCTGCGGATAAAAATTATTATATTCCGAATTGGTTATAAAAAAAATTACCCGCCTAGAAATTTTTCAAAATCTCGGAAAGTCGGATTGGATTTAAATGTTAAATGGGTGATTAAATGTTAGAAATTTTTTAAGATCTTGAAAAATAATTAAATTAGGTTCGGATTAAATACCAGAAATACAAGTAGTATTAGAGGTGGGAAATATACGAACTTTTTTCACAGGCTCTTAACGATGATAGATAATGTCCGAGAGAACATGTGGAAGACACCAAGGCACCAGAACTGTCATTAGAGTCTCCCGTTCGTCGCGCACTTGACCGTGTCCGGACTTGGAGGACACCGCGCGAGGAGAGCGCGTGGACCTTAACAAAGAGACTCTCCGCACTCTCGCCTCGATCCTCGACGAGGAAAGCACACCTTTGCAAAAATGGGTAATCCGGACGGTGGTCGACGATGCACCAACGCTGAGAGCCCGTTACCACGGCGCGGATCGCAACGCGCACTGACCAGCGCATAAAAGTGACTCGCTCGAGCGAGGCTGGGACGAGGCGAGAAACGTATAGCCGCGGGTAACGATATCTGGCTGGCTGGCTAGCTGACTGGCTGGGAGTTGGCTCTCCTCGAGGTGAATGTCTTCTCCGACGCGGGCCCGCGATCGGGAGGGGGACCGACCCCGAGCGAGACCATCGGCGTAAGCAGCGTGGCGCACGCGTTTTCAACTCGCCGTGCGAGCGCTCGACGCTGCCTTGATCGCAAAGTACCGTAAAAATACGTCGCATTTTTGTGTGTGGACACTTCCATCGATCATCCACCTGTGACCAGCCTGTAATAATCAACCCTTCCCTTCAACATTTTTGCCATGTTCCATCGAGACTCTTTTCATTACATTAAGAGAAGAAATATAAATCAGTAGCGTCTTGCGAAGAGTACACGAGATATGAATTACAAATTGCAACGTACTCAAAAAGTGTATTGTATATTAAATAAAAGTAGATTATGCAGATATTCGATAATCTATAAATATATGTATATTAATTATAGCTTCCAATCAGTCACACGGTTTGATTTAAAAAAATAAGACACGAAAGATTTATTTTGTATTATTAATTATATCAGGGATAAACAAAGTGAAATAAGGTAATAAAATATTATTATCTTATTTCATACGGATAATCCTCCTCGAAAAAATCAGAATCTTAATTAACTATATCGTTACTTTAACATGAAAGATGCGAATTTTGTGAATATAAGATGAAGATAGTAAAGAATTTTTAGATAAATTTTTCTATTATATAGCTATAAATAAATGAATAAGTAAATAAATAAGTAAATAAATAAATAAATAAATATATATATATATATATATATACATTAAAGAAAGATAAAGAAAATTGATAAAGATACTTTATTCTTTTCTTACATTAATATATTTCTTTTGTTTTTCATCATATCTTTTTGCTTTATCTTCAAATTATACTTCTCTTGAAAACTACCCGTCAACAGTTGGAATGCACCTCGTCGCACATAAAACAAAGCAGAAACGCGCAAGAAGAGGCAAGAACGAGAAATGAAAGTGCAAAAAAGCGCAGAGAGGAGCCACGTTAGATGGGCCCAAGTTATCTTACGCGGGCCCGGCGCGTTCACGCCACTGTGAACTTGTCGGTGGGGTACCGGTGGGGCACGGAGAGGGAAACTCGTGGGGGCCTCCGTCAGCGGTAGCGGCCAGCGTTCGGACAGGACTCCGGTGAGTCGCGCGATACCTGGCGCTTCGCTTCGATCGCGAGCCGAGGAAGATATTCCGGATAGAAGAATCAACACCGACGACGACGACGACAACAACGACGACGGCAACGACGACGACGACGGCGGCGGCGTCGCAGTGACGACGCGTCGCCCAAGTAAGAAAAATCCGTTTTTTTTCATCCTCGCGGGTGACGACCCTTGCGCACGCAAGGGAGGTGTATCCCTTTTTTTCTGTCACGCGAAGTGCTGAAAGTCCGATCGGCCGGCGATCGGCGGTGGAGGACGACGACCGGAATGGAGAGGAGGCAGCAGCATCGTCGTCGTGACTCGAGCAGCTTCCAAGGTTGAGGCCCAGCGCGAATACACAGCCGGTGAGTCATTGTCACGAAGATCACGGAGCTCAGCGCCTTCTCTCTCTCTCTCTC